CCCCCCCCCCCCCAGCAGGGACAGAGAAAGCAATAAAAACTGTCAGGGGTACTAATCCTTCCCCACTCAATCCAAAACAAAAAAATATATATTTGCTTCAAATACAATGTTTCTGCTTTGCCTAATACTTCACGTAGTCTCATGGTTAGTATCATGATCCCGGATTTTAGTTATTTTAGTATTTATCTACTTAGTCCCACCTATGTGCACAGTCCTAGTCAATGGCCTGGGTAATAATGGTTTAATGACCCACTAAGTATTTATTTGCAGTCGACACCTCTCCTGTTCCATACTTTCTCTTGCTAGTGTCCTAGCGGCCCCAAAAACCCAGGAGACTCGGCATGCAAATACAGACTCTCCAGCTTAGAAATTTGGAGCTCTGCCCGCCACCTTGCAATGTGTGCCATTCTGCTGGATGGATAGACCCGCTTAATCCATTGAAGGATGTGGAGAGGGTGCAGCTGGAGGCTGTCAAAAGATATGGAGTGTCCCTAATTTCAGGGCTCCTTAGGCACTCTACAAAGGGGAACCAAGATATATGCACACGTTCCTACATATCTCCTGCAAACATCTGTTGTTTAAAAGAAAACTGCCAGTAATGACAGGTACACTTGAACAAAAAGCAGGAGGAGATGGGTAAACAAGGCAAAACAAAAAGAGCAAATGTGTTGGCCTATCTTATCCTGGCCTCTAGGCACCAGGCCTGGAGTGTCTCATGGCCTATATGCAAATGTGTTCGAGCCAATAAACAGATGTCTATACGGCTCTGAAATGATTGCTACTTTTCCCAAAAAAATTTACATTTTCGATCCCATCATGAAAGTTCAACTAGTTCTCCAGCCTGAATTCTGAAGAAATGCTGATTAAAGCTGATTATGAAGTGGGGGAATAAGTAAATGCAATCATGGAACAGAACCCATAAAAACGTATAAACGACCAACTTCATCTGCAGGGTGGCTCACATCTGCAAGTACTTATATTCTGAAGGAAATGCATGTGACATTATCTCCCAATCACTAGTAAAAGATGTACTAGGGAAAAAAAACATGGCTAATAATATGAAAAGTGGGAAAGAAGAATGAATTGTCTCATCTAACATTTATAATATGTGTGATTTGAAAAAGCAAATAATTGGTTCTTCTGGTCAACCGCACTTCCATTTCCAAGATGGTAATTAAGGCAAGTGCAGCTTGTTGTAGCCGAAATCAACCATGATTTAATTGTCTGAAGACATCTGATTGCTTAAAATAGATCAGGCTGAGCACAGACAGCTCAAGGTGATATATTCGATGCTCCCAAATTCTGATGGCGACTATTGGGTCATTTCTAAACTGCAAGAGGACATCAGCAATAGCCTCAAGCAGGTAGAGGCAGTTTATAGGTTTGATCGAAATGCTCCCTCTGAGTAAGTCCCAATCATTCATACTTCTATGGAGAACGGCAAAGGAATAGGAGCACTCGCGTTTGTGGTACTATACGCATCAGATGAAGATCACAGTGGTTGCTTGGGCTTCCATATACCATGCAAAGGCAGGCAAGTCCCTCTTTGCCAGTAAATTTCAGGACACACCTGCTTGTCTAATAGTCAAACACAATACAATATGACCAAACAATATTTGTAGAGTTAAAACAAAACTATGTAATGAGGACCTAGCTAATCTATCCAATCAATTTGTATACACAGGCAGATTCTCAGAGTACATACTTGTTGATGGATCTAAAAGGAGATTGTAACGTGTGTGGTGAGTTAGCCATAAGCTGGTCATGCTAGGATTCCGATTGGTCACTCCCACAACATTTAGTGTGTAATAGTTGGGCCCACGATAAAGGCACCCTGGCACTGTTACTCCAATGACCTGGAGCAAGTCTGCAGGTCAGGAGGTCCAACATCACTGGCTACATACTTGTTCCAAGTCAACAACGTGGTAATTACCGGAGGCAAAAATTAGGATGACCACTGCAGAATTTGCAGAGTTAATAAATAACTTAAAGATCCAACAACATCTTCCATATGACATATTTGCTTCAATTCTAGCGGCCTTCAAACCACAATTCTGTTGTGAAACCGGATTTACTCGCTTTCAGCAAAAACGACCCTGTGCACCAGTTATTAAAAGTCTCTGAAATCCTTGTTGCTGGAAGATGCCAATTAAATTCTTCCTTTTGTTCTTCTAAAGCATATTACAAAGTGGAAAGAACAATCAGGCTGGCTTCCACGGTGCTGAAGGTCATTCTACTATTATTGATTTCTTACATCATTTAAAAATTAAACTTTGTGGAGAAAAAAAAAAGGAATCCTTCATGAAGCTTGCTGATAAATACAGACATTTCAATGATCTAGGAAATGTTTTCCCCATTTGCTCCTCATGAATTACTCACTGGGATTAATAACCATATAGTAGTTCTTCTGATGGCTGAATGTCTTCATATGGAATGACTATCAACTAATGTGTGCAGACCTCTACGTTGGCCATTGGACACTGAATACACCTTGTACTTCTCTGTACTATTGAACCATTCCCACTCTCTGTTCCCAAAACAAAGTATTACTTTGGATACATGCCCAATAAAAGCAGCATGTCCTCTGAGAGAAGCAATGTCAGCACTAAGATTCTAGGTTCTTGGTAGCTCTTCTCAATCTTTAAAAGTAACCAGCTACGACTCCCATTTCTGCCTTCCTACAATGCTGAGGAAAGAAAAGTGCCCTAGTTCCTGTTGCAGTCTGTCCAATGTAAGAACTCAATCATTAACTCATAAACCTGCTTGCTGTCACATCCTGAAGAAAGAAAAATCATGGGTGGACCTTAAATGTTAATACCTGCAGCCTTAAATTATGTAAACCATAACAATTAACTTCTCTCATTTTCTATCTTCTCGCTACGTACAATTGAAATCATTTTATTAAATTGGTTCAGTAGGCAAAAATACCTGTTGATCCTTCCAGAAATCTTGTGAACCTGAAACTTCCTGCGTACTGTGCCTGTGCTGCATTGTTACCAGCTCTCTCTTTGGACTAAAGAACCTCTCTCTCTGTGTTATGGACTAGAGTGGGCGGTGTTCTGCAGATCTGTCTTAGGGTGACAACGCTGTTGCTTCAGAGATACCGTACATTGAGTGAGCGTTGCCCCTCTAGGAAAGGAAGTGTGTTACTGGTAGAATCACCAGGTGAAAATAAGAAATAAGGCTGAAAAAAGAAAACTAATGCAGCCACCACATCCAAGGACTGGTAACCTTCTTTATTTATTTTTATAGATAGGTTTAGATATGCTTTAAAGAAACAGGAAGGCAAACTGAGGTATTTTACATACAGCTACAATCTTTCTTTTATACTTCCAAGCCTATTTAATAAGTCAATGGGTAAAGTGTAACATACAATAACCCAGTATTGTGGAAAGCTGTCCTCATGTCCCAAAATTGATATGTTTTATAGATGTCCATAATGGTAGTGAAATTGCATTGCTGAAATACCAATAACCTCACGTAAGCACAGACAGGGTAAGCTGCACAATATGCATTATCAGTGGACCCCAGGGACATTTTGGGGAATTACATATCAACCAATCATAAGTGGTCTTTCAAAAATCTTAGCACAAAGAAATACGATTGGATTCTCTGAGGTATTGCACTCTGCACTGCAACTTCACCCTTTATGCTTCCTTAAATGAAATGTTATTCCAAGAATGAAAATGGCTGGCATATCCCTTGAGCCATCTATACACCAGAAGAGCAGGAGATGGCACTCTCTGGGTTAATCTGCCTGCAAATAGCACCCACAGCTGTACAGACCAGATTCCTGCCAAACAATAGACAGCCATGTAAGATGTTCCCAGTGACCATCAATGAGGTTTGATGAGTCGCATGTTCTTGCATGTGGAAGCTCCTGCTGGAGGGTATGAAAGACTAGGCACGAGGTTTCTTTGTGGCAATTATTATGCAAACTTTCACTGTAAAGGAGCTTAGTGTAACTATGCACACACCTGCCAAGCAGCTTGTTTCAACCTGTACTATGAAAACTACGGAACCTTCCTCAACACAACTATCAGACCCTTGCAGGGGTGTTGGCAAGAAGCTTAAAGCATTGCTGAATCTTTTTGACAATTTTGACACTACAATTATGGATAGAGAAATAGAAGACTTTGTATACAAGTATAAATAATCTCCCTTTAGCTGCATTTAAAGCATCCTTCGCACCGACTGGGCACAAAGAACAATGCAAGAGTCTGTAGAAGCTTAAATGCAACATGGACAATAAATACTAAACAATGCTGACTACTTTTTTTTGTCTTACCAAATCAAATGTACCGAAACAATTGCAAAAAAAGAAAGGAAATGGGTACTCCTTAAAGTGCACAAAATGTAGAAATATTTGACCTTCGTTTTTATGTTATTTAGTCTCTTCTACGTTACAATTCATACATAAATTGTCTTACCTCCATCGGAGACTGTAGCAGCCTGGGGAAAAGAAGAGAGAGACATGAGTGTATAAACTCGACATTACAATATCTAAAGCAAAAATAATACGGATTAAAAAAAATAGGAATATCTGTCAAGCTCAGAATGCACAAAATATTCTGAAAGCGTCCTTCCAAACACATCAATCTGAAGTGCAGCTGGCTCCACCCTCCCACCAGAAAACGCAGCGGCTCCTCCTTGGATAATCAGAATTTCAATCCTATCAGTCACACGCAGCTCATAGAAAAAATAAATAATGTGCTGGTTTTGCATAAAAACACTAATCAGCATCAGGATAAAAATACTCCCCAGCCATTTACAGAAGCAAATATTCTGAAAGAGGGAACAATCTGACTTTTAGAATAACAAAGTAAAACAGAACGATACAACTAATTCCCTTCAAGTTGGATCTTGTTACAGGAGTAATTTACCCGCTTGGAAAGATGCAAAGATATCCGAGGTCACAGAGCCGTTCCACAACTGCAAGCCTCTCCCAAGGATTCTCGTGACCTTTAACGTTTTGTGTGTGTACAAGAGTACGCAATTCCTTGCAATTGTTTCTTTTGGGGAGAAAATGTGCCCTAAGCAGCTCATCAAGAACTGTCCGAAATTCGTTTAGTGGGTGGCTGTCTGCTGCCTCCCACCAGATGTCCTGGAAAGGAGGGGGCAGAATATTGTCAGCCGAACAGAGAGAAAAGAGAGCGAGCGAGAGAAGAAAAAAAAAAAAAAAAGTGAGCGAAGAGCAAAAAAGGAGAGAGCGAGAGAAGAAAAAGAAAGAGCGAGCGAGAGAAGAAAAAGAGAGCCAGCAAGAGGAGAGGAAAAAAAAAAGGAGTGAAGAGAAAAGAGAAGTGAGAAGAGAATGGAAGGGAAGAGGAGGAAGAGAGAGGATGCATGAGAATAGACTGCGGGGTCATTCCAGGCCAAGGAGCGATGTGGATGATCCAACACTATGAAGAGCTGTGGAAAACGTACCCCTTTATATTAATGGGAAACGATTATTACAGTGTAATCCAGGGGTCTCGCACTCATTTCACTCGGGGGCCACTCAACAAATTTTATTTCTCCCATGGGGGCCGCTTGGCAAATTTCATACTTCAAAAATGTAACTATATCCGGACACCAATACACACACAATAAGGCCCCATTCATACCTGTAAGTTTAGGCACAATTAAGGATCCCTGCATCAGGAACTTGTTTTCCTGCAGGAGGAATCCCTAATAATTACAAGTGACAGCTGTCATCCATTCAAGTTAATGATCAGGTGACAGCAGCTGCATGTAAACTCCTGCACATTGCATGTAATTGTGTGCAATATGATTACATGCGGATGGAAAACACGCTCCCTGGATGCACAATCGATGCATCCAGGGAGAGTGATTGATTCCTAACTAGGGATGTCCCGATACCACTTTTTCAAGACCAAGCCAAAGTACTGTCCCTCATGTACTTGCCGATACCAATTACCAATACTTTTTCTTAAAGGGACATTCAAACTTTTTTCTAAAATACAGACTAATGATTTTAGGTCAGTTTCTCACCAGGGTTGCATGCATTGGAGGTGACAGGTTCTCTTTAAGTTGACATTAGGGGTCTTTTAGACCCCCAGTGTCACCTTTTCACTGCACTGGATTCAGCTGCTGAGGCAGCTGAATGTAAATATAGCAGGCTGTGGCTGGGAGTAATAGCCAGCCTGCTATTGGCTATTGCAATTTAAAATATCCAATAGCAGGCTGGCTGTTGTTACAAGTGTCCGCTCCTTTTCCACTTGATGAAACGGTTTCCTTTTGGTTAAATATCTGAAAGTGTCAGCTCTCCGTGCTCCGTATTTGTTTAATAATGCACTCACCAGAAGTACACAGAAGTTTTCACTCTTAATCAAAGGGAAGGTCCGTTCTGTGTGTAGTCAAGATTTACGGCTTCTCTCCTCTCCTCCCCCCCATGAACACACAGAACGGACCTTCCCTTCAGTGAAAACTTCTGGGTACGTCTGGTGATGAGCGCATTATTAAACAAATAAGGAGCAGGGACAGCTATCACTTTAAGATATATAACCAAAAAGGAACCCGTTTCATCAGGTGGAAAAAGGAGCAGACACGGAAGGACAGAAGAGCAGCAACAGCGGAGGTACAAAGCAGTGGGGGGATTTCAGAGTCACCGGCCGCATTCTCTTCTCCCTGCTGGTGCTAGCTACAACGGTCTGTGAAAGCGGTCTCCCTGGCTGAAGCTATTCAAGCGCCATGCGCTTACAGTACAATTATTTTTTTTTAAAACAGTGATAAAAGAGGGCACAGCAAGCAGTGGGAGGGTGCAATAGCCAGCTTGCTATTGCACCTGCCCACTGCTTGCTGTGCCCTCCTCCCAGCATGGAGAGAGCTAGGGGATCCAACCAACTAATCGATAATGAGAATAGTTGACAACTGTTCTCATAATCAATAAATCGATTAGTTGCAGCCCGAAATTCAGGAGAAATTGGCCAAAATTCGAAAAGTCTATGGCCAGCTTGACTTGAAATAAGCATGCAGAAGAGGAGTTTAGACCTCAATGGCTGCATGCTTGTTCTAGGACAGTGGCTCTCTAGGTAGTGAAGCCAGGGTCATTATAACAGCCCCACGCCTGCACCTTTTGATCACAAGACAGAAAACATAGCTCCAATATTTATCTGCAGAGGCCTCTTATACAAAAAAAAAAAAAATTCATCACACTCCCTAATGATACAATTGAAATATGAAACAGCAATATGGCTACAATAACCTTTAAGGTAATTGTTCCCACAATAACACTGGAACCTTCAGGACTGAGCTGGATTGCCAGGCGACGGTTCCTGTAAAACAGTGTTCCCCAACCCACGGTCCGCGGACTGGTACCGGCCCGCACAGTCTCAGTGCGGTCCGGTCATGCAATATATGGCAGTGCATGGTCCCGGTGTTCGAACACCGGGGCCCCGCACTGCCGACGGGCTTCACAGTGAGGGGGCGGGTCCTGTGACTCACCTCCATTCCCGGGTTGACCGGTCCGCGGCGATAAAAAGGTTGGGGAGCACTGCTGTAAAAGACACCTTGGAGAGCTGATAGTGAACATACCAAAGCATGGCTCATTGATATCCGGCCTGTGACCGGTCATCCATCTCTTTATGCCCACAGACATAGGAACAGTCACCTATATTGAGGGATAATCAGACCTTTCATTTTAGAAATCTATTTCCATGTTCTTCAAGGTTGTCCTGAGCGGTCAACAAATGACAAATGTTCTAGATCTCTTAACAAACACTCCAAAGGGAACTTTACCCCCTTATCACATAAACAAGAAGCGTGTCATTGGGCTATTCTGGGACATGTTTGTACTCCAGATTAAGAACTCCAGCGTGGAAGGAAAACACGATTTCACGCTGTGCTGACAATGTTTGTGTCCCCTCATCAGACTATGGAGGCAATTTAACAATTTCATTGTGTCACTATCTCAGCAAATACCAGCAGGTAAACACATGAAATTCTCAGAATGGGGAACGTGTTGTTCTCTGGAAGATAAACCCAGAATTCCAGGGAAATCATTAACTGGAATAGAGACACGAAGCATCACTTTGATGAACATTTCTACAGTGTCGGAAAATAAGGGCAGTAGTGTCAAGCCCAATCCGCATTCATCTCGGCGAGGGGGTAAAACTCCTTCAAGGAGCGATAAAGCTCCATGTTATATTAGCAAGAAGTTTCTGAACCATTAAGAATCAACCACAAGTGTAATTTCACAGAACGACCGAGGAGAGACGCCTGCTGATTTTGGCAAGATTGGGCGTACATTGGGGAGGACTGTGGTAAACTTCCAACCACAGCACACACAGTCATGGCTGCCAGGGTACAATACAAGCAATTGAAAAGTTATTTGCCGTCTTTTACAAGTGTTTGTACTGCTCTCCATCCTGACTTGCTGTCACAGGAGGCTGAACGAGCGTTGCGGGGAGGAGAGCTTGATCTCCTCTGACAGCTGACTCCTTCTCTGCACCACCAGCGGGGCCCCTGTGACAGTTGTCTCCGCCCCCACACCTCTCCCCATTCTGATCTGTCACAGGAGGCTGAGTGGAGCGGTGGTTGAGGCTCCCTGCTCAGCCTCATGTGACTCTCCTCCCCACTGGATGCTGCGCTGTGTCAGAGGGGACACAGAGGGGACACAGAGCCACGCCCAGTGGGGAGAAGAGAAACCAGAGATGCAAAACAATTTCCACCGAAAGATGGCACTTTCAGCATTTTGGGACAATATGTTTCAGCGGCCGAAATTTCGGTGCATCATATATACTGTGTGGATATCTCGATCTATAGATATCTCGATCTATAGTTGTGCAATTGTCGAGATATCTATAGATCGAGATATCTATAGGAACACACATACACACACGTACTACAAAAAAACACCTGGTGATTCTGCCAGTAGGGTCCTTGTTTAGGCACTTCGTGTTACAGAGTGACAACTGTCTCCATATTAGGCTCCTGCATTGGTAAGCTGGCACTTGGCTCCCTGGGATAAATGAGAAAAAAAAATGCTCCACTCTCCCCATCCACACTAAATAGCGTTAATGAGGGAATTTCCCTGTTGGGCAACTGTATCCTGACAGCCGGTGCCAGCAGTGACTGTGCGGCTGACAATGTTCGGCCTGGCTCCTCCGAATGGAGTTCTTCCACAAGGCCACACACTGCTCAAGTTTGCAGGACTTGGCCGAAATGGCGGCGTATGGCCATATTCACCTCTGGTGGAGACTATGAGCGGTCTGTTGACACACATTGAACAGGCACGGGCCACTGTTGTGACATTGAGGACGCAGAACAATGATGTGCAGCCACCAGTGGAGTAAGTGACTGTAACTGGAAGTGGCTACAGCAGACTAGCAGTGCTGAGATGATAAAAAAAAAACCACAACAACATACATACACAACAGTATTAAACATGTTTTCTATATAAATATATATATAAAAAAGTGTTTAAATGCTCTTTCATACATATCTGTCTTGTC